GTAATATTATTGTGTATGTTTTCAGATTACATATACAAATATTCTGTATGAATATATATGCAATCTTTTGTTTCTTTTGTTTCTTCCTATTTCCAGAGCTAATAATAAACGGTTGGAAATAGCAGAAAGCTAAGTCAGATCACATTTTGAACTTTGAATGTTAAGAGTCTTTCCGGACTCCATAGCTTGCCAACCCCTGGGAATCATCCATGTTTTTCCCCCTCAAACACCAGTTTCTGCACATTAACTGGCACCCCCAAAATAAATAAATAAAAATATTAAATAAAATTTGTTTCAGACTGTATTCTGCACAAGTCTCTGGAATTCCTTCGCAGAAATATATATACTTGCTGTGAGTCTGTGATTCTTATGAACCTACCTTTTTGGTATTTGACTATTTGAGACTGTATTCTAGATTTTGTGGAATATATTGATGCCGGAAGCTATGTTGTAGCCTATTTTCTTTACTGTGAAATAAGTTTCTTTTTCCTCTCTCTCCTTCTTTCTTTGTCTCCAATCGTCGGAGATCTTCCGGCGCGTCTCGGGTGCTGCGGTGGTTTCTTGGCCGATCGACTTCCGTTTTTTCTTTCGATCTGCACCATCGATCGGTGGTGATGGATAACGATCGGCGGCGGCCTGGTCCCCATTTGCGACGGTGAGACCTCCGATCTCCTTTGATCTTCGGCATCTCTGGCGACAATGGTCACGCAGTGGTGTAGGCGGAGAGTTCGGCGGTGGCGCTATTGCTCTATCGTCGACCGGCTCGGCTCCTCCCACGGCGGAGAGCTTGCGGTGGTGCTCTCTGGCATGACGCGGCTGGGGAAGAAGACCCCTATTTTTCTCGGCGTCTCTTTCTCTCTCTCTCCAGCTGCGTTTTTTTTCTCTAGCAAACTGCTAGGGTTCTTTTTCAGTAAGAGGAGAAAGTGATGATGGGTTATAATGATTTTGGGTCGGGCCTGGCCTAATTCTCCCATATCTGGTCCATTTAAAATAACATAATATTTGGGCCTATTTTGATGGATCATTTCTTTTTAATTGGTCAATTTTTGAGATATATTTATCAACATATTTTATTGGGACTTGATTTATATATATAAATTGTTTGGGGTTGCAATTTGTTTTTTTTAAAAACATTGAGAAGTATATTACTTTCAAATTGTCATTCAATTTATTATTGAATATGCTCATAAATTATAATTGCTATTTTGTGTAATTTATTTTGGATAATATAATGAGTTCATATGCATATTTTATCTTATTAGCATAATATATAGTTTTATTATTATGCGAGTTATTCTTTAGAGGTGGACCTTTGTTTTTAGCCAGCCTTAGTATATATAGATTTTTTGAAAAATCTCGATCTTGGCTGCTATCACCATGTGTGAATTCACCGAACTTGGTTTCAATGGGAGCAATTACTCAGAAGTCCACGAGCGATGAAGCCTTGAAAGCTAAAAGTCCTATTTTTCATTTTTTCCCTCGCCACCATCTTAAAAATGCATACCTTTCTGAAAAAGGACCGCTATGCCTTATTGAAATCCCTGGAGGATAGTTTTAACTAGCAAATATCCCTAGCCCTTCCTCTGACACAATTTGACTGCCTTAACTTGAGTTTTCAAGATTTTAAAGTCAGTGACGGATTATAATTTGCGGCTATTACCCAATTTAACTCTGCACCAGTGCCCGAAGCACACAATGTTGCTCAGTCATGCAACGCCAAGAGGAGCTGGGGAAGAGGTTGCGCTATGAATCAAGGCAAAGGTGACAACAATAACTCTCGAAACTAAAATAAACAGTGAAGTGATCCATCTCGACAACGACATTCATATGATCATCATTCCGGCCCAGCAGCAAATATGCTTCATTTGCAATTCCATGGAATTGCAATTCCCCCATTTTCATGGAATTAAAATCCCATGTCCCCCCCTGGTATTTTAATTCCTGGGAAAAAAAGATAGTGATGAGTCAAAATTACCCCTTCCTTTTTTAACCTAAAATTAATGTCTAACAACAATAATGGACATTTTTGACTTTATACTACTTATTCCCTTTCAATTCACATGTATACCAAACATTGGAATTGAAATTCACATTAATTCTATTCCTATCAACCAAACACTGGAATTTAAATTCCCACTTTATTCCCAGTAATTCAACTCCCATGGAATTACAATTCCTTTCCCACGTAATTCCCCCCTCCAACCAAACGCCCTGTTAGGGAATATATACATGTCTAACAATAGAATCCTATATATATAATTAAGATTTATTATTTGATCTCAACTATTTAATATAATCTTATATTTTTGAGTATAATAGAATCTTATATAATTAAGATTTATTATTTGATCTCCATTATTTAATAGAATTATATAGTTAAGATTTATTATTTGATAGGGATTATTTAATAGAATCATATATAATTAAGATTTATTACTTAATATGCATGGATTATTTAATTAGAATCGTATTTAATTAAGATTTATTACTTAATATGGATTATTTAATACATATAACTAAGATTTATATATAATTTGATATGGATTATTTGATAGAATCGTCGTAATAGAATTGTATATAATTGAGATTTATTATTTAATCATGATTATTAAATAGAATCGTATATAATTATGATTTATTAATTGATATATGTTGTAAGAAAATTTAGAATAGACAAGGAAGAAAGAGGGATCATCTCTTATTCATTAAAGTGTTTCTTTCCATACAACATACAATATATGACAATACATATATATTACAAAAGTCATAATTATAGTATTAATAATGACCGTTACATCCGTTATAAAAATAATGTCTACTTATGATATATTTATAACAATATCAAATTTTAAATTTACGTAATATTAATTTTACCAACTATATCTGAGAAAATTTATGAATAGTATACGTTTTATATTATATCCAAAAAAAAAGTAGATACATATATCCATATCAATACCTATTCAAGTGAGTGTATATATAGAAGACCATTTTTTTATTTATCACAACAACAGTTAAAGTCCCTTTGTTATATTTGCAAAAATCTTTCAAAAACCCGCATCCCGTAGTCTTCAAGAATGAATTTAGAATATCAACTTCATTTGTTTGTATTCACTCTCCTATTTGTGCTTATTTCATCATCACCCAGAAACCAAAATGATCATCAAGGCCTTGATATGAAATATGGGGTGGTGAAGAGAAAAATACCTGTTGGTCCAAATCCTATACATAACCCGGGGGCGCCAATATCAACATCAACAAAGGATATTGATATGAAATATGGAGTGGTGAAGAGATTAATACCTGTTGGTCCAAATCCTAGACATAACCCGGAGGTACCGGGGCCGCCACCATCAACATCAACAAAGGATATTGATATGAAATATGGAGTGGTGAAGAGATTAATACCTGTTGGTCCAAATCCTAGACATAACCCGGGGGTACCGGGGCCGCCACCATCAACATCAACAAAGGATATTGATATGAAATATGGAGTTGTGAAGAGATTAATACCTGTTGGTCCAAATCCTAGACATAACCCGGGGGTACCGACCGGGGCCGCCACCATCAACATCAACAAAGGATATTGATATGAAATATGGGGCGGTGAAGAGTATAACAACCGGTGGTCCAAATATTACGTTTTAGAGGAAAATGTGTTATATAAAAAATATGCTTCAGTTTATGCATGTTGTCCATGATTTCTTGATTTAATGAGAATAACTGGAGTTAATCCAATTTGTGATTTGAGTTTTTTAAAAATATTTTTTGAAATATGTTTTATGGGAAAATATGTTTTATATGTTGTTGCTTAATAATTCTGATTTTGAAAGATAATTAACTTTTAATAAGTTATATCAATAATTAATGTAAAATTATTATTTAATAAAATTTTACATATTTTAACCACTTTAAAAAAATCAGGCAAATTCCTAAGTAAAATTTTGTAAATGCAAGTTTCAATTAGCATTTTTAGTTTAAAACGAATACTATTTTGAGTTACATTTTGACTTGATGCTTTGAAAAAAAAAAAAAATCTCTAGATCTATTTATAAAATATTAGTATTACTAAATAATTGAATAAAATTTAATTACAATAATCTTTTCTCTCTCTCTATCTTTCTCTCTCTCTCTCTCTCTCTCTCTCTCTCTCTCTCTCTATATATATATATATATATATATATATATATATATATATATATATACAGTATATATATATATATATACACACACACACATACATACATACATACATACATACATATATACAGTATATATATATACATATATATATATATATATATATATATATATATATATATATATATATATACACACACACACACACACACATACATACATACATACATACATACATACATACATACATATATATATATATATATATATATATATATATATATATATATATATATATATATATATATTATATTTAGATAATAAAATTAAAGATAAAATTATAAATAATTCTAATATTTGAAAGTGTACATTTATTTGATTATTGTTATAAATATATATACTTAGTGGACATTATTATGTAACGGACATAACGGTCCGGTAATTAAGCATGCCATTATTGGATCCATTATATTTGTATTGTATATATCCTTACATATGTTGTATTGTTTGGATGCTAATGAAATGGAGATTACCCCTATACTATTGTATATCATTCTCCCTTCTCTCTTTACACCTTACTTGCAATGTTAATCAGTTCGCCTCTCAACCCGGTGAACGGTATTTTTTAATTCAATATGCACGATTTTATGCATATATACATATATGTGTTTTTATGCATATTATCTAATATTTGTTCACAATCTGTATGTAATATTATTGTGTATGTTTTCAGATTACATATACAAATATTCTGTATGAATATATATGCAATCTTTTGTTTCTTTTGTTTCTTCCTATTTCCAGAGCTAATAATAAACGGTTGGAAATAGCAGAAAGCTAAGTCAGATCACATTTTGAACTTTGAATGTTAAGAGTCTTTCCGGACTCCATAGCTTGCCAACCCCTGGGAATCATCCATGTTTTTCCCCCTCAATCACCAGCTTCTGCACATTAACTGGCACCCCCAAAATAAATAAATAAAAATATTAAATAAAATTTGTTTCAGACTGTATTCTGCACAAGTCTCTGGAATTCCTTTACAGAAATATATATACTTGCTGTGAGTTTGTGATTCTTATGAATCTACCTTTTTGGTATTTGACTATTTGAGACTGCATTCTAGATTTTGTGGAATATATTGATGCCGGAAGCTATGTTGTAGCCTATTTTCTTTACTGTGAAAGAAGTTTCTTTTTCCTCTCTATCCTTCTTTCTTTGTCTCCAATCGTCGGAGATCTTTCGGCGCGTCTCGGGTGCTGCGGTGGTTTCTTGGCCGATCGACCTCCGTTTTTTCTTTCGATCTGCACCATCGATCGGTGGTGATGGATAACGATCGGCGGCGGCCTGGTCCCCATTTGCGACGGTGAGACCTCCGATCTCCTTTGATCTTCGGCATCTCTGGCGACAATGGTCACGCAGTGGTGTAGGCGGAGAGTTCGGCGGTGGCGCTATTGCTCTATCGTCGACCGGCTCGGCTCCTCCCACGGCGGAGAGCTTGCGGTGGTGCTCTCTGGCATGACGCAGCTGGGGAAGAAGACCCCTGTTCTTCTCGGCGTCTCTTTCTCTCTCTCTCTAGCTGCGTTTTTTTTTCTCTAGCAGACTGCTAGGGTTCTTTTTCAGTAAGAGGAGAAAGTGATGATGGGTTATAATGATGTTTGGTCGGGTCTGGCCTAATTCTTCCATATCCGGTCCATTTAAAATAACATAATATTTGGGCCTATTTTGATGGATCATTTCTTTTTAATTGGTCAATTTTTGAGATATATTTACCAACATATTTTATTTGGACTTGATTTATATATATAAATTGTTTGGGGCTGCAATTTGTTTTTTTTTTTTTTTTTACATTGAGAAGTATATTACTTTCAAATTGTCATTCAATTTATTATTGAATATGCTCATAAATTATAATTGCTATTTTGTGTAATTTATTTTCGATAATATAATGAGTTCATATGCATATTTTATCTTATTAGCATAATATATAGTTTTATTATTATGCGAGTTATTCTTTAGAGGTGGACCTTCGTTTTTAGCCAGCCTTAGTATATATAGATTTTTTGAAAAATCTCGATCTTGGCTGCTATCATCATGTGTGATTTCACCGAACTTGGTTTCAATGGGAGCAATTACTCAGAAGTCTACGAGCAATGAAGCCTTGAAAGCTAAAAGCCCTATTTTTCATTTTTTCCCTCGCCACCATCTTAAAAATGCATACCTTTCTGAAAAAGGACCGCTATGCCTCATTGAAATCCCTGGAGGATAGTTTTAACTAGAAAATATCCCTAGCCCTTCCTCTGACATAATTTGACTGCCTTAACTTGAGTTTTCAAGATTTTAAAGTCAGTGACGGATTATAATTTGGGGCTATTACCCAATTTAACTCTGCACCAGTGCCCGAAGCACATAATGTTGCTCAGTCATGCAACGCCAAGAGGTGCTGGGAAATAGGTTGCGCTATGAATCAAGGCAAAGGTGACAACAATATCTCTCGAAACTAAAATAAACAGTGAAGTGATCCATCTCGACAACGACATTCATATGATCATCATTCTGGCCCAGCAGCAAATATGCTTCAATTGTTGGTGAAAAAGTCACTGGTCACGTGCGTGCCACACCCCGAAGCATTTTGTTGAAACCTAAATGAACATCACAATGTTGAATCCAACCAATTTGCCTTTCCTGAAGCAAACGCTCTTGTTGGTCATATTTATGACCTACCTTTTCATTCAACATCTTTTCAGTGATGTTTTATTTTGGAAGATCTTTATACAAACATTTAACTTCTTCCTGCAATTATTGATAAGGTTTCCTTTCTGGGTTCCGGTAGAGCTTCACTTTTACTCTATCAATTTTTTTATAAATTGAAATGCCTTCATCTGATCAAATATCCTACTTTGATCAAATATCCTTCATCTGATGAGTAGACATATGTTACTCATTATTCATAATCTAAAAAGACAGATATGATCTAGCATCTTATGGATAATAATGCCTCATTTTCGGATTATCCTATGAACTTCGTCCATTTTTCGACGATTATTATATGACATTAAGCATTAAGGCAGAGTATCAAGTATCTTATGCTCTTACCCAAATGGTTTAGCTAATTAATAAAGTTATGATTTATTACTAAACCATTATTTTCCAAAATTTTCAATGTGCCGGATACTTGGTGGGGAAATGCAATATTTATGCTAAAAATTTCGGCACACTGCATATCCTTATTCCCCCTTACATCTAATACGTGGTTTTCGAACAAACATTTCCCAAATCTGCGTTTCTATTCTTATGAATGCAGTCCAATCTATTACAAACCACTATAGCGTATCCATCTAAACTTCCATCTATTGTCTCCAATATTTAAAGCCCCTGAGAGAGATGCAATGGATATGCTGACTGCATGAAGATCGATTCACGGCATTAGGGGGAGATATGATCAAAATTGAAATGGAATGCCGAGAAATTTGATGAAATGATCTTCAAAAATTAAATCCACGTACCAATTAGATTGAACCAGAAGTTCATAAAGAAATCTGCCAAATAATCTATTTCATAAAAAGAGTGACTAGGTCCCATACATATTCCCCAAAATTGGACCATTGATATCTATCAATACTCCTTGATGCCAGAAGTACGGGAGATTCATTGGGATAGAAAAATAAAGAATCGACAAACAACTAGATCTAGTAAAGTTTTTTATGTCACTCTTGAAAATTTTAGAGATCTTGAAAAATCATAAAAAGTTATATTTTTAAGACGATCGTCCAGACGACGAGAAAACCCAGTAAATTTATAGGTGCACCAAAATAATCATAATACTGGGTTGCGGAACAACCAGATATAAATATCCTTGGAAAATGGCTATAATCTGGTTAACTTCGAAAACTACTTTTATATATATGGGAGAGATTCTTAAAAATATTGTAAGTTGTCGACAACACAGTTGCCTTCAAATTGCTCATATTATATGACAATCTGGATCTAAAACTAGGTGCCAGAAGCGCCTAGATTGATTAACATATAAAGAGAGCATATACAGCTCAACTTGCTAATATATTCCTTTTGTACACCATTGAAGTATTAACCCTGTAGGTTACAAATGGTGTTTGTATGAAGGAAAACAAGAATGATAAGGTGGTGAGATATAAAGCGAGTCTGTAGCCTAAGGGTTCACGCAGAAACCCAGAATAAAGTATACTCTCCCATGATAAATATTATTAAAAGTTCCGCTACATGATTGGCAGAATAATTCTAGATATGCAGCTTATTAAAGTCATGACCTAGAAACTATGGGTCATTAATTAGATACTAATGTTTATCTGAAAATCCTTGATGGATTTATAATTCTCAAAAATGAAAGAAAGTAAATATCACAACATGTTTGTTGTTGAAGTACAAATGCTTTACTTTACTTAAAATAGTGAAGCAATTGATTGAGTAATTTCCTCTTAAAATAATGAAATTATAGAAATGAATATGTACCATTAGGTACTTATTAAGGGGCTTATTTATAAAATAAAGGAGATGGAAAATCAAGTATTATCTCGACCGGTAGATTGAGCATTTCCTTAAAAAGGAATTTCACATACTAATTAGTCTATGTCCAAATAATCTCCCGAAGTAGATAAAAGACCATTTTAACCTAAAAGGATAAGTTAGGACCAGAAGTCTGCTGCTTCAAAACATCATTTTTGAATACCTTTTCTTTGAGACAGAAAATTCCCAAATTCACATCTTATTTTTGTAATTTGTGAAAAGTGATTTGGTGATTCTCCTAGAAAGAAAAGGAAATGATGTTAAATAATATTCATTAATATCCTTATGGTATAAAATATGTCTTTCGAGAAGTCATTTGAATATTGGCAATATGTTAAATGACATAGACTTGGTTTGATATATTATAAATCAATTTAAGCTTTAAGCATCTTAAAGCCTAAGGGATAATACTTGTTCTTATAGATGTATTTTTGAATATTATCATCTCGTTATTACTTTCTCGCTTTGTCATAGCGACTGTTAAGTTATGAGATGAAATAAGGAATAGCAAATCAAGGTACAAATATTCATATTGATGCTTTTGATATGAAGTCATCATACTTGGGACAAATAAAAACGTATATAGTTTTTCATGATATAAAATACCTTGATCCACATGAACTCCAAAAGAGTGATAAAATATTTGTCCAGAAAATTTGCTCCAATGACAAGTTAGCAAATGTATACCTACAAAATATCTATGAAAAATTCCTGATGGGTTTATAATTTCCGAATGAGGATTTATTAAGTGCCATTATTTACTCTTTAAAGAGTTGTGAATGAAGTTATTATCCTCATGTAGAAGGAATAATATGTACCATTATGTGCTCAATAAAGAGTTGATAATTGACTTATTTATTATCTCAGTCAATATTGATGGTGTAAACATCAATGAAATATATAAAGAGCTTGATGATGTCAGTTCATGTTTAAAGACTGAGATCGATTTTTTTGAAATAAAAAGCTTGTGAAAGCTATAAGTATTATCTCGACTGAAGATCGAGTTTTTCCTTGAAGAATTTTTATACACCAGTCAGCCTACATCTAAAAATGCTTTTCACATGTCTATATGCATAAGTGTCATGTTTTTATCAAACTAAAGGTTGTCTAATAATCTCTTGAAGCAGATAAGGAACCATTTGGACTCGAAGTCCCTTACTTCATTATTGTTGGAGCACCATTTTAGAACCAGAAGTTCCATAATCGCAACATGCATGATATTTGCGATGAAGTTGCTAGCAAAATCTAGTGCTCCTCCTACAATGAAGTACTTGAATAATGATTAACATATCCTCCGGTATCTTCAAGATACAAAGACATGATATTTATGTAAGAAACTGTAATACGATTTTAATAGGCTACTTGGGTACTGGCTATTTTGTTTGATCCCCGTAATGCCAAGTCCAAACTGGTTATACAGTGAATTTCCCTAAATGATCAAAATGAGCACAAATGTTATATGAGCTCTAGAAGAGCCATAAGATTATTGTACACTACTCTAGAGACAATCCAGAAGATTTGTCCAATCCATCTCTTCAAGTTTTGAAATATATGTAGAACTTGAAGATTGTTATCTTCAGGGGGAGATGGGAAGTACATTTACTCGAATCAATTCGGAAGATTGGACGTAAAATCCTGAAGATTAAGTCATAAAAGACTAACAATTGCGCACTATTTGCAACGCATAAATACATAAATATCATGTACTCTTTTCCTCACTAGTTTTCTCCCATTGGGTTTTCTAGTGTGGTTTTTAACGAGGCATGAGTATGATATAGTAATGACAAAGAGGAAAAGTTTCAAAAGAATTGCTTAAATGGACAAACCCCAAAATCCTGAAGATTATGCGGTTTGCGCCCTGAAGGCTTATGGTTGTACTCTTTTTCCCTTAACTAAGTTTTTCCCACAGGGTTTTCTTAAGTTAAGGTTTTTAATGAGGCGACCAAATACAATATATGTTTTTACATATATCATGTACTCTTTTCTTCAACTAGGTTTTTCCCACGTAGTTTTCCTAGTGAAGTTTTTAATGAGGCATGAATATATTTTCTATTGTACTCTTTTCTTGTCTAGGTTTTTCCCACCGGGTTTTCCTAGC